GAAGGGGGTGGGATGGGAAGGAGATGGAGCAGTGGGGAAGGGGCATGGGATTGGGAAGAGAAGGGGATAGGGGAAGCGGGGGCCCAGCATACGGATCCCCTTGGCAGAAGCTGGGGCTCCCCTGTTAAGCAGGCCCATCAAACCCTCACCCTGACAAGCCCCACCTCCCCTGCATCTGTACCACCCTGATGAGCCTCCCCAGACACCCTCCCCATTGACCCCCACCCAAATGAACCCCACCTCTCCTGCACCCAGACACCCCTCTGCTGAGCTCCAACCACTTTCACTTGGTCCCCCCTGGAGACTCCCATTGCCCCTGCACCTGGAACCTCCCTGTGCATCCAGATCCTCTACTGAGGTGCCTGCACCCAGACTACCCCACACTGAACCCTCTTACCCCCATCTGGATCCCCCCCACACTAAGTCCCTCTGCACTTGGATCCTGCTGCCAGGCTGAGCCTCCCTGCTCACATCTGGTGTGCCTGGTGCAAAAGGGGCAGGGCCCCAGGGTGTTTCTGTGGCAGGAATGGCCCTTGTGCAGTGTCAGGGTCAGATTCAGTCTCACTGCCAAGTCCCTGTCCCGGGGGGGCGGGGGAGGCTGCAGGATATTCTTCCACCTCCATGCAGCCAGTGGCCTGTGTTCCCCACTGCCATGGTGGAGCTTTCACATTTATTTATTGTAAAAAAAATAATTGCAGAATTTTAAAATATTATGCACAGAATTTGATGCAGAATTCCCTCAGGAATATGGGGCACTGTACAGCTGTGATGGTGGGACTGTAAAGGGGATGCTGGACAGTAGGGGATCTGTGGGTGGGGGAGCTGGGCAGGGGGCATGGTGTGCAGGGTGCTGTGCAGTTGTGGTAGGAGGTCAGCAGGAGGAGTCTCTGGGTAGGGGGTGCTGGGCATAGCAGGTCCAGGGGCATTGGGCATAGGGAACTGTGGGGGAGGTCTCTGAGTGAGGGGGTGCTGGGCATATGGGCAGGGCACTGGGCAATGGGGCAGTGTGGAAGGGGCATGCTGGCAGGGCTGGGCGAGCCAGTGTGCGTCTCGCAGTTGTGGGTTTGTAAACAGTGCCCTTGTGCTGGGCTGCATGGGGCCACTCCTGCTGCGCCTTATTGCCCCCAACCGGCCCCTCGCTCTGAGAACCGCCCCCCCATGGGGGCCCACAAAAGGTTAATCTGGTCCTGGGCTTGTTACACGGTCAAAGAAGGATTCACCATGGAGTCACCAAGGGCAAGTGATGCCTGACCAACCTGATTGCCTTCTATGATGAGATAACTGGCTCTGTGGATATGGGGAAAGCAGTGGATGTCATATATCTTGACTTTAGCAAAACTTTTGATTCGGTCTCCCACAATATTCTTGCCAGCAAGTTGAAGAAGTATGGATTGGATGAATGGACTATAAGGTGGACAGAAAGCTGGCTAGATTGTCGGGCTCAACAGGTAGTGATCAACGGCTTAATATCAAGTGGAGTGCCCCAGGGGTCGGTTTTGTTCAACATCTTTATTAAAGATTTGGACGATGGGGTAAATTGCACCCTCAGCAAGTTCGCAGATGACACTAAGCTGGGGAGAGTGGTAGATACACTGGAGGGTAGGGATAGGGTCCAGAGTGACCTAGACAAATTGGAGGATTGGGCGAAAAGAAATCTGATGAGGTTCAAGAAGGAAAAGTGCAGACTCCTGCACTTAGGATGGAAGAATCCCATGCACTGCTATGGGCTGGGGACCGACTGCCTAAGCAGCAGTTCTGCAGAAAAGGACCTGGGGATTACAGTGAATAAGAAGCTGGATATGAGTCAGCAGTGTGCCTTTGTTGCCAAGAAGGCTAACGGCATATTGGGCTGCATTAGTAGGAACATTACCAGCAGATCGAGGGAAGTGATTATTCCTCTCTATTCGGCACTGGTGAGGCCACGTCTGGAGTATTGCATCCAGTTTTGGGCCCCACACTTCAGAAAGGATGTGGACAAATTGAAGAGTGTCCAGCAGAGGGCAACAAAAATGATCAGGGGGCTGGGGCGCATGACTTACAAGGAGAGGCTGAGGGAACTGGGCTTGTTTAGTCTGCAGAAGAGAAGAGTGAGGCGGGATTTGATAGCAGCCTTCAACTACCTGAAGGAGGGGTTCCAAAGAGGAGGGAGCTCGGCTGTTCTCAGTGATGGCAGATGACAGAACAAGGAGTAATGGTCTCAAGTTGCAGTGGGGGAGGTCTAGGATGGATATTAGGAAACACTATTTCACTAGGAGGGTGGTGAAGCACTGGAATGGGTTAGCTAGGGAGGTGGTGGAATCTCCATCCTTAGAGGTTTTTAAAGCCCGGCTTGACAAAGCCCTGGCTGGGAAGATTTAGTTGGTGTTGGTCCTGGTTTGAGCAGGGGGTTGAACTAGATGACCTCCTGAGGTCTCTTCCAACCCTAATCTTCTATGATACTATGAAGGATATTGGGTTGGTTTTACATGATTTGTTCCTCACAAATCCATGTTGACAGTTACTTATCACCTTATTTTCTCATAGGTGCTTACAAATTGATTATTTGCTCCATTATCTTTCCAGGTACCAAAGATAAGCTAACTGGTCTATAATTCCCTGGGTTGTCCTTATTCCTCTTTTTATAGATAGGTACAATATTTCCCCTATTCCAGTCCTCTGGGATCTCTCCTGTCCTCCATGAGTTCTCAAAGATAATTGCTAATGGCTCAGAGATCTCTTCAGCAGGTTCTTTAAGTATTCTAGGATGTATTTCATCAGGCCCTGCCACTGTGAGGACATTGAACTTGTCTAAGTAATTTTTAATTTGTTTTTTTCCTATTTTAGCCTCAGATTCTACCCCATTTATACTGATATTCACTATGTTAGTTGATCACTGCTAACCTTTTTGGTGAAAGTGAAACAAAAAAGAGGCATTTAACACTTTGGCCATTGCTGTGTTTTCTATTTTTGTCTTTTCCCTCCTCACTGAGTAATGGGCCTACTCTGTCCTTGGTCTTCCTCCTGCTTCTAATGTAATTGTGAAATGTTTTCTTGTTACCCTTTGTGGACCTAGTTAATTAAATGTTGTTTTGTGCCTTGGACTTTCTAATTTTGTCCCTACATTATTCTGTTGCTGGTGGTTTTTTAATATTCAGTCTTCATAATTTGTCTTAGTTTTTACTTTTTACTTTTTTTTTTTTCCCCTTCAGTTTCAGGTCATTAAAGATCACCTGGTTAAGCTAGGGTGGTCTTTTACCATTGTCCTATGCATTGGGATAGTTTGCTCTTGTGATCATAATAATGACTCTTAAAAACTGCCAACTCTCCTGAAGTCTTTTTTCCCTTAGACTTGCTTTCCATGGGATCTTACCTGCCAATTCTCTGTCTTTGCTAAAGCCTGCCTTCTTGAAGTCCATTGTCTTTATTCTGCAGTTTTCCCTCTTACTTAGAATCATGAACTCTATCATTTCATGATCACTTTCACCCAAGCTGCCTTCCACCTTTAAATTCTCAACCATTTCCTCCTTTGTCAGAATCAAATCTAGAACAGCCTCTCCCTTAGTTGCTTTCTCCACCTTCTGGAATAAAAGAAGTTGTCTCCAATGCATTCCCAGAACTGGTTGGATAATCTGTGCTCTGCTGTATTATTTTTCCAACAGATGTCTGGGTAGTTGAAATCCCCCATCACTACCAACTCTTGGGCTTTGGATTGTTTTGCTAGTTTAAAAAAAACCTCATCCACCTCTTCTTCCTGGTTGGTCTATAGTAGACTTCCTGAACAAGCTGTACCCTTCTATACCAATATTCTAGTCATGTGAATTATCATCTGTGATGCCAATTATGTCATAAATGTGATTATTCACTAGTATTTCTAGTTCCTCCTGTTCATTCTCCATACTTCTTGCATTAATAAACAGACATCTAAGATGTTCATTAGATTTCCCCTCTATATTGCCTTGTCTCTCCTTTATCCCTGCTGTGATTGCCCATGTTCCTCCCAGATTTGATATTTTCATGTAGGTCTCCATGTTCTAGACTTACCTCTGGCTTTTGTCTCCTGCACCCATCAAGCCCAGTTTACAGCTAGATTAGCCAGTCTGTATGTGAAGATACTCTTCCCCTTCCTTGATAAAAGAACCCCATCACTGCTCAGCAGTCCTTCTTGGAACAGCATCCAATGGTCGAGGAATCCGAAGCCCTCCTGGCAACACAGTCCATGCATTCACCTCCAATATGTGTTTGTCTGTGCCTGGGGCCTACCCCTGACTGGAAGGGTCAATGAGAACACCACCTGTGCCAAATCCCTCTTCACAATACCATTGTCTCATCCATGCATTGAGTTTCAGCAGTTCTGGCCTTGCTCATGGAACTGGAATAAGAATGCTACATGGAGGTCCTAGACTTTAATCTCTTACCTAGCAGCTAAATCTGGCCTTGAGGGCATCTATCCAATCTTTCCCAATGTCACTGGTACCTACATGTACCATGACCACCGGCTCCTCCCCAGCACTGCACATAAGTTTGTCTAGATGTCTCAAGAGGCCTGCAACCTTCACACCCAGCAGGCAATTCACCATGCAGTTCTCCTGGTCATCATAAACTCATCCAGGGGTGAAAGTAGGCAGGTACGGCATACTGGTAAGAAGCCGGTACTGGCCCCTATGCAGCCGACGTTAAAGTGCTGGGGGGGCAAAAGGGGCAGCTGACCCGGGGCCGGTGATCAGCAGCGGCCAGAGCCCCAGGCCCTTTTAAATCACTGCTGGAGCCCCGGGCAGCGCCGGCCAGGCAGCACAGATAGGCTGGCTGGGGGAGGCTGACCTCCAGCCCCGCCCCTTCCACCCGATGCCCTACCCCTTTCGGGGGCCTGGAGTCGGGCCCCCGAACTGGTAAGTGTTTAATATTACTTTCACCCCTGAACTCAGCTATATATATTTCTAATAACCGAATCCCCCATTACTATTACCTGTCTCTTCCTAATAACTCAGTGTGAGAGGATACCATGACACACTGGGGGGTGCCAACTATGGGTTCATTTTTCTCTGCTCCAGCTTGGTGTTCTCCTTCTCCAAGACCTTTGTCCTCCTCAACAGCACAGCGACTGTCAGACTGGGGGTGGGACCACTGTACTGTGTCCAGAAAGTTTCATCAATGTACTTCTCTATCTCCCTTAGCTCCTCCAGTTCAGCCACTCTGGCCTCAAGAGCCAGTACTTGGTCTTTGAGGGCCATGAGTGGCTTGCACTGAATACACACGTACACCATCTGCTCACAAGGCAGATCATCTTACATGTTGCATTCAGGACAATAAATTGGATAGCCCCCGCTCTGCTGCTGGACTTCTGCCTGCATCACTTTTATTCTTGCAAGCAGGGCCGGCTTTAGGAAGTGCGGGGCCCAATTCGAACATTTTCGGCGGGGCCCCGGCAGGGATGACTAAAAAAAAATACATGTAAAAAAAAGCCTTTCATTTCTTAGCAACCGGTTCACTATAAAAAGTTCTGATATAAGGGATGTGCCACAGTATGTATTTTTTGTACCAATAGGGTTACCATACGTCCAAAAAGAACCAAAAAGCCTGACATGTCCGGGAAAATACGGATGTATGTTAACCCTACCTAAAGTTCTTTTTTTAAAAGATGGGCCTGAACTAGAAATGAGCTCCGTTTCACATGTGTGGGTCCCCGCCACTCCCTGGGGGTGTGCTAGGGTGACCAGATGTCCTGATTTTATAGGGACAGTCCCGATTTTGGGGTCTTTTTCTTATATAAGATCCTATTATCCCCCACCCCCTGTCCCGATTTTTCACACTTGCTGTCTGGTCACCCTAGGGTGTGCACTATGTGGGTCCCAGCTACTCCTTGCCCCCCCTCATTGAAGCAGGTGTGCAGGGTTACTGCCCTGGGAACTGCAGGGCACCACTGGACATGGGGCTGGCTGAAGACAGGGCAGGGGCTGACTGGAGGTAGGGTCTGGCTGCAGGCAGGGCAAGGGGTGCGGGGCTGGCTGGAGACAGGGGTGTGTGGGGTGGGCTGGCTGGCTACAGGCAGGGTCGCAGGGGTGTGTGGCAGGGGTTGGCAGGGCCGGAGACAGAGGAGTGCGGGACTGGCTGGCTTCAAGCAGGGGGGTGCGGCAGGGGTTGGCTGGAGACAGGGCAGGGGGTGTGGGGCTGGCTACAGGCAGGGCAGGGGGGGCAGGGCTGATGTGGGCAGGGCAGAGGGTGCAGGGCTGGTGCGGGCAGGGGTGTGTGTGGGGCTGGCTGGCTTCGGGCAGGGCCGCAGGGGGGTGCGGCAGGGGTTGGCTGGAGACAGGGCAGGGGGGGCGCCAGGGGCTGGCTGTGGGCAGCGGCAGGGGGGGCGGGGCTGGTGCGGGCAGGACAGGGGGTGCAGGGCTGGTCCGGGCAGGACAGGGGGTGCAGGGCTGGCTGGAGACAGGGGCTGGTGCGGGCAGGGCAGGGGGTGCGGGGCTGGAGGCAGGGCAGGGGGTGCGGGGCTGGCTGGAGACAGGGCAGGGGGTCCGGGGCTGGTGCGGGCAGAGGGTGCTGGTACAGCCCACCCTGTACGGTAAGTACCCCCTCCTCCTCCTCCTTCCCCCACCGGGGTAGCAGCAGCAGCCTGGGGCTCAGGGACTATTTAAAGGGCCCGGGGCTGCCCTGCTTCCACCGCCCCGGCCCTTTAAATAGCCATGGGAGCCCTGGGGAAGCGGCGGGGCTCCAGCGGCTATTTAAAGGGCCAGGGCGGTAGAAGCAACGGGAGCCCCGGACTTTTTAAATAGCCCCCAGAGCCCCGCAGCCCTACCCCAGGGCTCCAGCAGTGGGGCTCTGGTGGCAATTTAAAGGGCCTGGGGCTCCAGCCCGTGCTGGGAACCCTAGGCCCTTTAAATTGCCCCCTGGGAAAGCCGGGCCACCCCGGTTCGGCGCACAGGCTCTTGCAGGTACGCTGTACCGGGGCTTGGGCGCGGGGCCCTCTTAGGGGCGGGGCCCGATTCAGGGGAATTGGTTGAATTGGCCTAAAGCCGGCCCTGCTTGCAAGGGTTTTTGTTTGCTTTGTTTTTGTTTTGTCGAGGGGGGGTGGGGCGTGTTATTGGCCTATGGTTAGGGTATGTTTGTTAGGTGTATCTGCCTCTCCCAACTCCCTCACAAAACTCCCCTGTTTGCTAGCTCCTCTTGTCACTTAGGATCTGGCTTTTTAAACCTCTTTCTCCCTGAGTTATCCCTGAACTCTTGTCAAGGAATCCTAAATGGATTAGGGATTAAGGGATACCATGCTAGATCCTCAGTAAGAACTACAATTAAGCCAGCAGCTAGCCAGCAAACAAGCGCACAACAGCCAAACTAACAGCCAACATACTCACCCCAAGGAGGTCACACAGTCACTGCTCCTTCACCTGGAGAATTCCCTCGCCAGACTCCCCTGATAACAGCTCCTGTTTGCTAGATCACTTTGAAAAATCTTGACCTTAATCTCTCTGGGTTTGTGTTGAATGAAGACAATGATTCCCTGCCTTCCAGGGGTGCTGTGAGCATAAATCCATAACTATTTGGATGGCGCTCAGATACTACAGTGACTCTTAGATTGTAAGACCAGAAGGGATCATGTAGTATGACGTCCCACATAACATGGGCCACAAAGCAGCTGCTGGAATCACATGATTATGTGAGCATCTCAGCTTTCATTCCCCCCACCCCTGCCAAGTTTCTAGCCCTCGTGGTTTCAAGAGAAAAGCTTGAAATGTGAACCCAGGGCACTTACAAGCCTCAGAAACCAGGATACAACGAGAAAGAACCCAAGGTTTGTACAGTGCCTAACACAATGGGGTCCTGGTCCATGACTGGGGCTCCTAAGAGCTACCATAATATACCCAATAAATAGCAATAAATATGTACAGTATCTGGCACAATAGAGTCCAGCCCCATGACTACAGCTCCTAGGCACTACCGTAACACAACAATTCATAGTAATAAGATTTATTATTTTGCAAAAAACATGTTTTTTTGAGGCCTGACTGATGGTTTCTGAACACATCCAGTTGGCAGTACTGCTAACTGATTTTTCCCAATTTCCTATTGAATGTTGGGCTCCTCAATCCCAGCCATTAACTTCTCTTTCCCCTAATTCAAATGGAACGAAAGTCTTCAAGTGACTTTTTGGAAAGCTCCGTGTCACTTTGGTAAAGGCCAGTTTCTCCTGGTTTTTCCCACGAAAGGACTCGAGATGCTATGCTGTTGGGATAACTAAATTCTAATTTATTACTACTCATCGAAAGAAAGAGAATGAAGTAAAATAAAATAAAAACGGAGCCATCATGACAACTCAATGCACAAAAATTTCAATCCAGTACATTGCATTTCAGAAAAACAAATGGGCACGTTGCTGTTCACAAGCAGTAAAACATTTCCAAGCTGATCAGAAAGTACAGGCAATCAAAGAGAGAGACAGTCGGCGCCAGTTACAAAAGCAAACAAGCAGATACTAGAAAATATATAAATCTCAGTTAAATTGTAGTTAAGTAATTACCATCTAATATTTTAGCATTAACCTCTTGTCAGCTGGCAGCCACTCTCACAGGCAGGGGGCAGGTTCCAGCATCTCTGATCCTAGATGAGGCTTTTATCCCCTCTGGGGATGAGTGCGGCAGAGAGTCAGTCTCTGGTTAAGCCCAGCACTCTGTGGCAGATGGGGTGGAAGATGCCCAGCTGAATGTCAAGGTCGTCTTCTCCCTCTGGCCTCAGTGATGTGGGTCTGGAAGGATTCAGGCCTGACCGGGGAGGTCATCTCCCCAGCTTCTTTCTTGAATAGTACAAAGACCTTCACTTGGAAGAGGTGGGACCACCGCCTGGAGTAGGATCAGGACCTGATACATTTGTCTCTCTGTCCTTCAGGGAGATTGTCCTTTTACTTGGTGCTGGTCCAAGGCAGGTCCACCTGGGAGGAGGCACTGAGCTCTCTGTCAAGCAATTATTACAATGCAGAGCCCCAGCCTGCACTCTGGAGCTAGGAGACGCCTTTGTGGAGCTGTGTGCCCCAGTAATTTCCTGCAGCCGCAGGTTCCACAGGTTAATCACATGCTGCAATAGGGATTTTTCCATGAATAGAATCTCTCATCCCATGCTCATGAGTGTTACTCACACCTATCTCCTCCGTCCCCCACATCTTCTCTCCTCTGACTCCCCATATTTCCCCTGCTGGATAGGTTGGATCCAGCAGGTCCCTGAACTGCTGATTTAAGAGTTCTTCCTTTATCTTGTCTGAGTCACTGCTACAGGGAAACTCCCCAAGTCAAGTCTGAGCAGGAGATGGGACAGAAGGGAAGAAACTGTGCATGGGGAAGTGGAGGGAGGCAGGGTTGAGGGCAGAGAGGGAGAATGATAGAGGGGCAGCATTTCTCCAATCCTGCCCCTTCCTCCTCATCCTATAACCTCCCAACATTTGATCCTCCACAACTAGCACTCCCTTCCTCTCTAGTTCCCATTCCCGCATCACCAAACATTCAATCCCATTTCTACCCACCCCACAGCTCCCTCCCACTCTGGCTCTCATCTCCCCCATCCTCAAACACTCAACCCCCCCTCCCCCAGCTCCCTTCAACCTCGGTCCCCATCCGTTTCTCTCATAGGAACCAGGGACTACCCTTTAGCTCAGTGGAGAACACCAGGAGGAGACCCATGAGGCGTCCTGGAAGAATTTGGAAGAAAAGGGGTTATGAGGACACATCCACCTGCTCACCGCCACCCCAGAAACAGATCCAGGCAACGGACGTGTTAAGAGACAGAAGGCCACTGGGTCTCAGGTCCTCTTGGGAAGGCGTGATATGCCCGACATCCCTGTTCCGAGGCTCGAAGATGAGGGAGACGTATCCAAAGGGCTGGGGTTCTCCGTTCCTCTTCTGCTGGGCCCAGCAGTGGGAGTAGTGTGGACCGCAGGGCATGGGGAGGGAATCTTCAGCCAGGGGCAGGAAGCTACAGGAGGATGGTTCTCTCTCCCTCACCCACCTGGGGTCTGCTAGGCTGGGTGGAGTCAGAGGATCACCAATCAGCTTGGGGTCACCTGCTGATGCCCCCTGAATCCAGAGACAGACAGCTGGGTACTCATGCCTCTGATATGCACTGCAGCCAGCCCTCACCAGGGCATCTATAGGGTCTCTCTCCAGTGCAGAGTCTCTGGTGCATAACAAGGAGTGAGCTCTCACCCAAGCTTTCCCCTTCAGTCAGGTCACTTATAAGGGTGTCTCTCCAGAGCGGGTCCTCTGATGTGTCGCAAGATCTG